TAGAAGGTTCAAAAGCCAAACCTAGTACTCTAGAAGAGAGCTTCTCAAACTTTAGTGGGCATACTCATTGCCTGGGCATCTTATTAAAATGTAGATTATAATTCAGGAGATCTAGAGTGGGCTCCAAATTCTGACCTTCTAACAAGCTCTACAGTAATGCTGATGCTATGGGTATGATAACCATACTTTGACAACACTCTTATGAATTCAATACCATTAGCAGTACACTAAGGAATAAAACCTTGCCCCCAAAAAACAAACAAATGAACAAACATCAGGATATATAGTCTCCTCATGTCATTACTCAGCCCTGGTATCCAGCCTTCCCTAATCTTCTAGTCGCCAAGTACCTTCCCTCTTCCACTCAGCAACCCAGCCCATAAAAGTGTTTCCCTAATAAGGCTTGCTGATCTCCACTTCCTAACAAAATAAAAGGCAATGAGTTTGATAGCAGTCTGGCCCTGTCAGTGGCCAGGTGAGGCTGAAAAAATTATGACCAGAGGTACAAGGCTATTCCTAGGACTGGCTGGAGTAGGGAGGTAGAGTGGAAGTATGATTAGGGTAGTCACCAGATGAGGTGATAGGATAGGCAGGTGTGCACAGACAGCACATACTTGAGAAATTCTCTGGCAAAAAGATGAGAGAGGAATGTGAGCAGTTTGGCTAGTATGGGATTTGGGAAAGAGGTAGGGAGACGGGGTGAGGATAAAGGGAGCACCCTCTTACTTAGCAGAACTAAGTTCCAGATAACATGACCAAGTATAACCTCCTAGGTAGGTAAATATGACTGCTTCTTTTCCAAGCACTCAGAGGATAAGTGGGCATAGATGCTTTGGGGGGTAGGCACATGCAGGCAGAAGTAGCAGATAAGCCAGAAGCTAGCTTCCAGAAGAGTTCTTATAAAGACTGTTGGGAGAAGTGAAAGGAGAGATGAGGACCAATTCCAGGAGGAATCAATCTCTAGCTGTGTTAGTGGGCTGTCAACCCAGTACCTTCAGACATCACTAACCACCTCTGAGCCTGGTTCCCAGCAGACTCCTCAGGAGTTACTTGGAGGGGGGCAGGTAGGGGGCAAGCAGAAAAAGACCCATGACTCTGCCCTGCCCTCGGAAAGAAGGAAAATATGGCTCTTGTTGCTTGGGGTTGTGTTAGTCTGATGTCTGGACCCTGGCCGGTGTGGCTCATTTGGTTGAAGCATTATCCCATAAACGGAAAGGTGTTGGGTTCAATCCCCGGTCAGTTCTCGTTCGTGTTCTCTCTCTCTCTCTCTCTCTCTCTCTCTCTCTCTCTCTCTCTCTCTCTCTCTCTCTCTCCCCCCCCCTTCCCTCCCTCTCTAAAACCAATAAAAAACTTTAAAAAGAAAGTGTTTAGACAAGGAGAAGCACAAAATAGTGTCCTTAGCTCTGTTTACTTTTTGTGGCTCTTCCAGCCTCTCCCCAAACAACACATTCCACCTGCCCCACATGAACAGGTCCAAGTTCATTCTGGCCAGCTCAACAGGAAGGGAAGCCTGCACACCATCCAGTGGACAGAACAATACATGGTTTGTTTATCTGACAAAAGAGGGGAAAGCTGCTTGATCACTATGGAGGGTACAGAGCTACAAAGGTTCACTCACTCCTCACTGTTAGCTAAGGGAACTTGAAGCCTGGTGATCCAGAGACCCTTACTACAGACCCAACAAAAAGGAAATATGTATGTGTGTAAATATGCATGCCTATATGCGTATATATGTATGTATATCTATGTGTATGTGTATGAATGTGCATGTGTATATGCATGTATAATTTTAAAGAGAACTTTTAGGTCAATGGCTTTCTTTTCAGTTTGGGAAACTTATAATCTGGGTCATCTCAGATAAGAGTACATTATGTAGACCAGGTTTTCGTTACCCAGTTCTGCCTCCCTACCTTTCCCACCTCTTTTACTTCCCCTCAATTCTCTGAATAGCCAGGTCAGAATCTTTCAAGTAATTTTACTAGATCCCCTTCTCCACTCTCCACCTGCCCAAAAGAAAGCTAGGGGAGTGAATTAGAAATGCAGACTGACAATCCCCAGAGGAGGAGGTGGTGAGGGAGAGATAAACCACAGAACTTATATGCATGTGTGCATGAACAATGGCCATGGACAACAAAGCTGGGGACAGGAGAGGGAGGGAGGGGGAGGGGGGAATCAGTGAGGGAAAAAGGAGAAACAACTGTAACAAAAATAAATTAATTAAATAAAAAAAGAAATGAAGGGAATGTTGAGGTGGAAATAAAGACTCCCCCAAATGTTTTTGTGTGTGTCAGGGGGTGCCTTTTGGCTTTCTAAATAGAGAGTAATAACTTCATCTGGTTAGGACCTTCATATTTGACTTTCTTTTGTTCATTTCTCCATTTTTACATTGCAATCTTTAAAACATGAGTGCACTTCTCTTTCTAAAGAACGTTGGAAGGAGGTAACCATATGAATGATGTGGGAGAATTTTGCAAGTATTAGGGACTAGAAAATGCTTAGGAGTTTAGAAAAACAATACATGGAATTTGCTTTCAGAGTGGACTGGACAGCATATTTTAGTTTTTCTACAGATAGTCTGATAAAACATATCCATAATAGACTTTTTTTAAATCAGTTATCCCAAAGGCAAGGAGTTAAATGGTACACATTTTGCAGCTTCTAGAAGGGGAGCAAGTCAAGAACTGAATAATGAAAATGGCTTGTATCTCTTTCCTGTATATACAAAAGCTAAGGTTGCAACACCACAGGGCTGATGGAGAAGAGCACACAGGGTAAATGACAGCAGGTTCACAGAGAACCATCCATAGAGTCAGCTTCTGCTGTGATGCTCAATTTCCTGAACCAATATCAACACTGATAAGGAAGATGGAGGATGTTTGCCCTCCAGTTCTTGTTTCTAGCAAAATATTTGTAGTATTCCTTGGGAAAAAGATTATAAGAATAATACAAGATTTCCTTTCTTCTCCCTTTAAGCCAAATATTTCTAATCTCAAACTCATCATTAGAACCACTTTTCAGGGGAAAGATGGAATCCACAAAGGTTTTCCCCAAAGTCAAGTCTCAAAGGCCTTAGAATTACTTCTGGCTATATGCAATACTAAAGACATGAAGCCCTAGGACAACAGCTAACAATAACCAGGGCCCTCAATAGAACCAAGAGTACCTACTCACTCTGCTGTGAGCAAACATGACAATGAAGAAGGGTCAATGCTCAGCAGTGCTAGAGCACAGTGAGCAAGGTGGACAGTAGTGGGAGATGAGGTTAGGGAAGTACCAAGGCCAGATCATGGAGTTTTTCAGTCAAGGTAAGAAGTTTGCATTATATTCCCAGTAGAGTTAGTAGCTACTGGAGGTTTTTAAGCAGGAGACTACCACAATCTAAATTTGATAAAGATCTCACTTGGCTGATGAATTTAGATAGGAGAAGAGTAGAATCTGGGAACCAGTTAAAAAGACTCTTATAGACAAAAGATAATGGTGGTTTGTCAAAGGGAAGAAGCAGTAGGACTAGAGAAAAAGGGTTTGATTAGATATCTTGAAGAGTTAAAACTGACAGTATTTGCTGATGGATTGAATGTGGAAAATGAGAAAAAGGAGAGTGAGGGAAAAACCATTATATTTGGGTCATCTGGCACTTGTTTCTTCTTACACAGAATTTCTTCTCAAAACTGAGTCATTAGTAGTTCTAAAAAAAACTGGCAGACTAAAAATGGCAGACTTCACCATTCTTTTATTCTAATATTTATAGAGTTTCTATCTACATTTAAGGTGCTTAGAGAGGTGCTATGGAACACACCAAAGACAAGAAAATATAATTCTTGTGCTCAATGAATTTACAGTGTGATAAGGGATAAATAAAAATACCTAAGTAACCATTAAACAGGGCAGAATGTCATGTCATAAAAGAAATGCTAACAAAATGAGAGTTAAATAAAAGAGAAAGCATAGCCGGTTGAATCAATGAAGACTTTATATAGACTCTGAGCTACTTTTTTAAGACAGTACAATTTCAACTGGAGAAGACTGGAGGAGAGATTATGCCAGGTTTTGTATAAACAAGAGTAGAAAAAGTAGGAATATGCTGCAGGAAGGATATACAGTTTCTATAAGGCACACAGAAAGTAAAATTAGAATGATATAAGAATATGGTGGACCTTAAGTGTCAGGATAAAGCATTTATATTACATAATCCAATAGGCAAGAGAAAGGCTTTGGATGTTTTAGGCTAGGAGAGCAACATGGTAAAAGTAGTATTTAAAAATATAATTCTGGTAGCCACATGTAGGATGAATTATGTGGATAAATACTGAGAACATAGAGAAATGAGTAGGCTAGCACAATACATGCAGAAGGTAGAGCTAGACCAATGCCAGTGGGGATGAAGCAGAAGGGAAGAATGTGACAGAAGACATGCAAGACAGAATCAACAGCATTGGTCTACTAATTAAATATGGAGGAAAGAGAACAGTTAAGATGACTGCAACACCTAGAAAAATTGTGGTATTGCAAATCTAAATAGGGAAGTTGAAAGCAGGAGCTGGCTTCAGAAGACATGAGTTTGATTTTAGGCACAAGTTTATTTGTTATGTTGTTAAATTATGTGGATAGGCATAGAAGCCTTGCATCTGGGCTGCAGTGCTGAAAAGAGGTTAGGGCAGGGTATGGGCATGTAGTCATTATCCACAAAGAGGAAGCAGCCAAGGCTACTGTAGTGGATGTAACTGCCCATAGAACATGTGTGCAAAGAAAGATAGTGGATGACAGATCTCTACAGAACAGCTACAGTTCAGGTGGGAGAAGATGAAGAACTAATCAAAGAGACAAAACAATAAAATGACATTTTCAATGATATTAGCAATAAATTTTTCAAAACAATGTCAGCAAAGTTAAAGGGAAATAAGCATTTTTATACACTGCTAGGTGGGAAGGGATATAGGTACACATTTGCTAGACAGAAATGTGTCATATATTATCAAGAGACATAAAAATGTTCCTACCGTGCTTGCATCAGCCAACATAGACTAAAATTGAAATGATTCAGAGAAGATTAGCATGGCCCCTGCACAACAATGACATGAAAATTTATGAAGCACTCCACATTTTTTTTTTCCTGGAATTAGACAGCAGTAATGGTCACACAACTTTGTAAATATATTAAAAACCACTGAATTACATACTTGAAAGTAATGAATTTTATGGTATATGAATTATATCTGTTTTTTTAAAGTTTTCTATCCTTTGATCCAGTTTTCTACTCCTAGGAGTCTATCTTAAGAGAGCAATTAGAGATGCACACATTGATTTATGTACATGAAGTGTCATCTACTGCAGGGTTATTTATAATGGTGAAATTAGGAATATCCTAACCATCCAACATTTAGGAAGAGTTAGGTGAAGAATTGTACATCTTCATGAGGCAACAATAATCTGACATTAAAAACCAAGCTTTTGAAGACTACTTAATGATCTTGAAAAAGGCTAATGATAAAATCATAAGTAAAAGAAAAATTGTATGCAGACCTGTACATAGTACCAGCCCAATTCAAAAAATGTATATGCATATACATAGACTAATATACAAGCACATACATATTAAAAGTCTAGATGAAAATGCACTATCCTACCAATAGGTATTTTTCTGTGTGTGGCAGAATTAAGGGTCATTGTAATTTTTTTACACTTATTTAAAATTTTGAAAATGTCGCCCTGGCTAGCTTGGCTCAGCGGCTAGACCATTGGCCTGCGGTCCAGAGAGACCTGGGTTTGGTTCCCGCTAAGGGCACGTACCTCGGTTGCAGTTTGTCCCTGGCCCTGGTTGGTCGTGCGGGTGGCAGCCACTCGATGTGTCCCTTTCACGTCGATGTTTCTCTCTCTCTCTCTTCCTCTCTCTCCCTCCCACTCTATCTGAACAAAAAATGGAAAAATGTCCTCGGGTGAGGATAAAAAAAAAAAGAAAATGTCTACACTACACATGTATTACTTTTGAATGAGAAAAGGTTTCCAAAGAAAAATGAAAAAGTTTCCAGGGTACACATATAATCTACCCTGGCAACCGTCTGTTAAAACTGTCTGACACATTCCTAAATTAGGAATCTACAATTATACTTGTACTTCCACTTAACTCTTTCAAACATATGAATTTTGCCTTTAAGGAATCAGCCTAGAGCCCACCAACCTAGCAAAATGCTTTCCCCAGTAAATGCTTTCCTGCTTAACAGTGGATTTCTTTGTTTATTCTACTAATTAAAAAAAACTCCATCAGACACTTTTACCTCAATTAATATTAGCACTGGGAGCTGTTCTTTGCTGTGAGAGGCTCCCAGGGCTGGAAAAACATGAAGCAAATTTAGGGGAGACAGGCAGAGGAAAAGGGAGGTCAAATCAAAGTCAGCATCAAGGCTGTGCCCACTGAATTGAAAGACATTCTTTTTTTTTTTTTTTTTTTTTTTTTTGCTACTCAGGGCCTTCTTGGCTTTAGTTTCTTTCCGGGTGCCTGATAGACTTGGTGGAGACAAAGTTGGGTGGAGAACGAACAAAGCACAGGAAAATCTGGTGGGCGAAGGGGTGGCAGCAAGTACCATTTGTGAACCTAGCTAACTGCTAATATTTGTATACCATGTTTATACTTCACAAAGAACTTTCACATACACCATTAAGTTTAATCCTGACTACAACCTTATAAACTCTACCTTAGAAAAGAAGAAACTGAGGCTCAGGGAAGTGAAGTAAATCACACGAGGCTTGAACCAAATTTATTTGCTTCTAAATTGCTGTGAATCAGAAACTCTTGGAGGAGGGCCCAGTGATCTGAATTTTAACAAGCCTTCCAAGTGATTCTGATGCGTTCTCAAGCTTGAGACCCATCACTCTAAAGAATGCTGCCATACATTTAAAAACAGGTTTTCAAATGGTTTCTTTAAACTACTAGCTGCTACTTTGACTTATATGGGATCTTGTCTTCTAAGGCAGGCTGGGAGCCTCCCTTCACCTGTCAGTGGCTTTGTACATAATAGAGGGAAGCTGCTTGAATAGAATTTTGGCTCTAGGGGCAGGAACATACTACTTCATAGTGAGGAAGGTCCAAGAATCAAGAGGGCAATTGCCAGGTCACAGTTTCCCTTGTTAGGGGGAATATATGAGCTGGCGAGCAGCTGCCATATAGCTATCTACTTTTTGGAGGTTCTCTTCATACATGTTCACATGGTTCCACAATGATCTGCATGAGTCCCTGAGAAATTTCCTGCTCTGATGTATTTATATTGATGAACCTTTAGTTCATCAAGCTTTTCATTTCGTTGGTTTTCAGTTGTTATTTTTTTTAAGCATTTTGAAACAACAATTTAGAAAAAAATGCAGAATTGAAATTAAATAATTTTCCTTCTGGGGAATGTGGACTGCCCTATTCCCACCTCCCTAACCCACCCCCTACTCAATTTCATCACTGCAGGTAACTATTCTCTCTCTCTTTCTCTCTCTCTTGCACACACGCACTCAATCATACACATTCTTTCCCCTTGGGATAAATAACAAACAAATCAGCTATTTTTTTTGAAACTTGGACTTGACTTAAATCAGATTTTAAATTTTGTCAAGGTGATGTTTGTAAAATTGAAACAAAACACATACATGGATATAGACTTAATTTGAAAATGCTCAAGCTGAAAAACAGAATCATGGAATGAAAATTACTAAGTATTTGAAATTCTAGGAGTGAACATAATTTGTTACATATCCCCTTCTACAGAGGTACTAGCACTAAATTCATTCATTTGTTTAGTCATTGAAAGATTGATTGATTTGTTAGTTATTGAGAGCCAAGCAAGCACTGTTCAAGGTTCTGGGGCAATGTAATAAACAAAACAAACAAGACCTCAGTTCTCCTGGGGCTCAACTCAATAAATATGTCAGGTAGTAATAAGAGCTGTGAAGACAGAGAAAGCAGGGTAAAGGGTAGACTGACTAACAGGAGTGTGTGGAGCCAATGCTATTTTAGAGAGTATGGTCAGGGAAGGTCTCTGTTAGGGGGCAATATTTGAGTAGTGACCTAAATAAAGTCAGGGAAAGAGTCAGGTGAATATTTGAAGAAAAAATGTCCTAGGCAGAGACATCAGCAAGGGTAATGGTCTGAGACAGAATCATCTTGCCATAGTACAAGAACAGAATGAAAGCTAATGTAGCTAGAGTATAATAAGCGAGACAAGGAAGGGTAGGAAATAAAATTGGGGAAGAAACCAGGGTTGAGGTGAGTGGGTTATTATAAGAACTCTGGATTTAATTTTAAGAGTGATGGAAATAAACCCTATGTCTAGTAGGTGCCAATAAATTTTAAAAGTCTACACTATGATTCTTGCCCTCAATCTGTACATTTGGGGAAATGGACCAAAATTACAGGAGACTTGAGAAGGAGAGGAGATTATTGTTGTCTCAGGTAAATTTGTTCCTAATATTAATGAGCCACTTGTAGTAGAAAAGAGCCTCAAAGGAGAAGATTCTCCCATCTCATACTTTAGGCATCTTTACCTCAAAAATACAGTGTTTACTATGTGTTACAAATATTAAAACATTTAAACTCATAACAACTCTATGATACAGGTGCTAAAATTGTCATCCCCATTTTGCAGAGGGAAAAATCAGAAGCTTGGAGAGGTTTAGTGACTTGCCCAGGATCACAGAACTAAAAAGTCACAGAGATGGTGTTCAAACACAGGCAGCCTGTGTTCTTAACCACTATTCTAACCTGCCTTGCCTAAAGGTAGAGATAAAATTGAAAATAAAGGGGAAAGTCTCCCATATGTTGTAGGTAACCAAGGAGAGTGCTGGGAGGCTATGGCAGACCTGTGGTAAAACCCTGAACTAGCCATGGGGGAGAGGTAGAGATGCAGGCTGCGGGATACTGCATCCTGGTTGGGGTCCACAAGGAGTGTGAATGCCCAGCATTCAGGAAGGAGTGCTTTGATAATGGAGACATTTCCTATGGTACACTGAGAGACCACTGAACAGAATGCATAATGTCTAATAGCTTGCAGCCAGAGAAATCTACATAAAGGAGATTATGCTTAAGGTCTGGTCTTTAAGGAAGGATAGGAATGGATCCAGATGAAAGGTATTTTTGTAGAAGAAATAGCATGTTACAATTATGGAAATGTGAGGAAAAATTGGTTTCCTGAGGGTGGAATATATGAAGGGTGGTGGGAAGTAAGGCTAGAGAGGTAGGCTGGGCTAGAACATAAAAGACGTAGGTTGTTAATGAGTTTGGACTTTTCCCACAGGCACTGAGGAGCCAGTGAAAGATTTTAAGCAAGAGAGTGGCAGAACCAGATTTGCATTTTGTAAAGATTTCTCTGTAAGAATTGTGTAGGGAGAAAAGAAGTAGGTGGACCACTTAGCAAATAAATGTTATAATTCCGGTGATCTATAATTCAGGGATAGAGTGAAGAGACAGATTTGAGAAATACCTTGTATAGGAGGTAGAACCAAAAAATCTTGGTACCTGATTGGACAGATGTGAGGGATAAAGAATAAGAGGAAATCCAGTATGTCTGCCAGATTTCTCACTTCAAGAAATAATTCGGCCTGTCACCAGTTCCAGCAGAAGAGTATATGGGAAATTATTCCAATTTTGGACAAGTTGTTTTTTAAATAGTTCTTCTTTTTTAAGCAATACTTGCAGAAGGCAAATAAGTCATACAGTACAAAGGCATATGCAATGAAAAAGAGTCCCCCACACTCCAAGGGAAACCACAGTTAATAGTTTCTTGTTTGCTCCTGAGCAGCAGTATGGCGTAGTGTTAAGAGAATAAGCCCTGGAAACCAGACTCTCTGGATCTGAATCCTCCATTGCTAGCTGTGTGGCCCTAAGCTACTTATTTAACATCTCTGCCTCACATTACCTGTAAAATGGGAACTATAATAATAAAACACAAAAAGCCATACTAGAATACTGTTCAGAACCTTGTTGTTTGTGCTTAACAATACATTAGAAGATAAGATCATATTGACATGTACTTTTTCACAGATTTTTAATAACAACACAGTATTGCATTGTCTGAATTTCATCAGTTTATTTACTATTTATCCAATTAATAAATGCTAAGGTTATCTTTA